TATATATATATATATATATATATATATATATATATATATATTTATTAAATTATATATAAGTGTCATTCTGTTTTTTCACAATTTTTCTCCATTTTTAAGAATAATTTCAAAATTTTGTCTTTCCAGAATTTCTCAGGTTTTTTTTTTTAGCAAAAGAACTTTAATGCCATCTATCGGAAATCGGCACGAACGTTTCAGACAACCTAATATATATTCCTATAAATCGACAAAAAACAATTTCCGGATAAAATTCATTATTACTAACACGTTCACAGTAGTGGACTAATTTTCAATGACTTTTTTCTCGTTTTAATTCACAAACGTGCGATAAATGAATACCCAACACGCCATTTTCAATTGGATTGAACGGAAAATTACATGCGATTGAATATGTGACAAATGTAACACCAAAACGTGTTAAGATTATTAAGAAGTATATATCGATAAATAGGAATCACTCCACTTCTCATTTTGAATATTTATAAAAAATATTTTTCTAAAAATAAAAAAAAAATAAAAAAATAAAATACCTGTTTCAAATATATTTTTACCTGTCCCTTAGTTTAAAGGTTTTCCTTTTTGCGTACCGACCATACGTTTCCATTAAAAATAAAACTAGGTAAAGTACTTAAAAATTATTTTAAAAACTACCACATAGAATCTAATAAAATAAATAATATTATTATTAAATTTCCCCTTCAAAATTATATCAAACTTTCGTTTCAAATTTAACTCCTAAAAAAATACCTTGTTTTCAAAATATTTCAGTTTCTCGATTATAAAAAAGAACTCATACTGTATATATACGTGTATGTGTGTATATGTGTATATATATATATATATATATTCCTTTGTACTGTGACTTGTCACGTGACTTATCAGAGAAGGACACGATCGTAAAACGAGTCCACACATTTCTCGGTTTCGTCTACGCGATAAAAAAATAACAACTAATTTCTATCCTAAACCTTCGAAGTATTTAAAAAAAAGGTATCGAAGGTAATTAGGAAAATTCATTCTTTATCCTTTTTTTTCCTCGCGACACCATTTTGATATCTAAGAAATATCATATCGTCTATGTACAAAGTATATACTTGAGCTTCTAGATAAAGCTCAAAATCGTTATGATCTAAATCGATTGATTGATACTAAAAAAATTAAATCCAACTACCGTCTATTATCACATCATTTTGCACGCATGAATTATCTTTCGAAAAAGTAATACACGACGCAGCGCATATATACGTATACCCACAAACAGACTACACAGCAACAAGGGACCGCGATTAAGTACAACAGGATCAGTTACATACAATCGTTTAAACCTCCATTTTGTTTTTGGGTACTACACGAGAGAACTCTTTTTTAACAAGTTTCTGATATTTCAATCCTCTCTCTTTCTCTCTCTCTTTTATTCGCCCATTTGTCCTTGAAAATCACTCTCGCGTTTAGAACGTAACAAGACGAAATCCTGGTGCAGGTTATCTTGAGTGATTACTGTTGCTGTTGCTGTTGTTGATGTAGTTGCTGCTGCTGCTGTTGTTGTTGCTGCTGCAATTGCTGTTGTTGTTGTTGTTGGTTGTACCCAAAACGATCGTTGTTGTGTTCCCTCTCCTTTTGTATTTGTTCCTCCTCCTTCCGTTGTTGCTCGTTCTTACTGTGCTGCCGATGATAGATGCTCTTATGGTTCCTTAGGCTGTTCAGGCTGGAGTAAACCCTGTTGCAGATGTTACAGATCGGTTCCTTGCTGGGCCTCGTGTGAACGTTCTGTATGTGCCGCTTCAACCGCGTTAGGGAGGTCAGGTTTTTGTTGCAAGGCTCGCATCGAAACTCATCGGACGCGCCGCCGCTGCCGGCCCACAGACCTGGCGGCAGAACCAGACAGAGGGGGTTACTTTGGTTTTTTTTTTTTTTATTGTGCTTGGACGTCGATAACAAGCACAATATTTTTTTTTTATTAATTTTTTTTTTTTTTTTTTTTTTTAATTTTTTTGAACTACGGGGAAGAAGAAGAAGAAGAAGAGAGACAAAATATATTCCTTTTCTCGCTTTTATCTCGTAGTAGTGTGTTTTTTTTTTTATAGTTTTGGTGTCTGTCTCTCTCTCTCTTTCTTTCTTTCTATCTTTCTCACTCACGGTATCACGTGATCCGTGTGATCTTTCTCTCTCTCTCTCTCTCTCTCTCTCTCTCTCCCTCTCTTTCTTTCTTTCCGTTTCTTCGCGATCTCGTCGATTTTTCATCGTTACGCGTACCGTCGTAGTTTTGTTTTTATTTTATTTTCATTTTTCCTTCGGGAAAATGGAAAAATCCGTGAACGTCACAGAGTTTTTTTTTTATATGGTCCGAACCCACCGCCGCTGAACCTTCACCCGACTAAAGCCGTGCGCCCAAATCGTCCTCAGTTATTCTCAAACCACGTACAACATTATGCCAGCAGGTGCTACCGCCGTAATTCGACACATACTCACACTCTCTCTCATTCTCCCATTCTCACACCCTCTATCCTTCTCTCTCTCTCACACTCTCTCGTTTACGACGCGTCGTCGTGCTCTTTTCCATTAGAAGTGCCTCAAAATCAAATTTCAAGATCATTTACTCAATTTACTTTCTTCCACAACTTTATCGAAATTATTTGGTTGAACAAACGTGATCCTTCATCAAAAAAAGTAGACCCTTTATTAATTATTGAAACAATAATAAAAAGTACGTTACGTTATTAACAATTTGATTATAAAATAAAAAATGGATGTATTGTATTCGTTTGTTTACATTTTCAAAAAACAAAACACAAAAGTGAGGCACTTCTAGAAAATGATTGACGACTCGTCTTCCGAGATTCCACTCTTTTCATTATTATTAATATTATTATTATTAATATTATTATTATTAATTATATTATTAATATTATTATTTTTGTTGCTGCTGTTGTGCTCTTTGTTGCTTTGTTTTTGTATATATATATATTTTTTTAATTTAATTTTATTTTAGCGAATTACACAGCAGTAGAAAGGTAACAAGCAATTCCAAGATTCCAGCGAGAACGATCGTGAGCGATGACGTTAGTAATTTTCCGAGCACCATAGTAGGGGGGGGATGGTAATATAAATCCATGGAGATCGATGCGTATTATTTACAGCGAAATAAAGGAACAGTGTAGTCCTTTTTTTTGTAGGTATACGTGTGTAACTATTTATATACATGTATATGATTATAGATTATCGTCGATTTTAGAATGATCTGATGTTGCAATGAAAGAAGAAATATGATATTCGCAGTGTATGTATATATATATATATATTTATATATGTATATATTTTTTGTTATATATGTACATACATAGAGATATGTAATTTATGGTATTTCTTAGTACAATTACTTATCGAATAGTTTTTTTCTTTTTGTTTTATAATTCTGTTAATATTCTTTGTTTCCTTATCGATAGAAATAATACGTAAAATAATGATAAGAACGATAATGTCTAAGACAAAAGCTACGTAGCATATAATATATATCCTCGATTCAAAATGATAAGACATAAATTTCCTATCATCAACCCACCCTCCTCCCTCTGCCACCCACAGTCCATTGGCCAATGTCAGAATTCATATTGGTTTAATTAGTGAAACGTCCTTATTTTCATTTTTTCAAATGCATTTTATTTGATCATTGATTAACGACGCTTACACCGTGATAGGTATATACATTGTTTTATTATTTTAATAAGTATACAATTTAAATAGAACAAAATTTCATTGCCGTGATTCAATCATCCGTTTCGTTACGATAACAAAATGTCAATCATTTTTTTTTTTTTCAAATCCGCGTTAATGTATAGGAGTATGTTTCCTTTTTTTTTTTTTTAATCTGAAAGAGAAAAAAAATTCGTGCGGATAAAAGCAACAAAATTCGAGGACACGCAAGAACACATCAGGGTCACCGAGAGCCAACCGATAGTATTACGAAGATTTCGAGAGCAATTTATAGAGGGTCGGTTTGCGTTTCACTGATTCGCGGTATTTGGAAAACACAACACAACTGGACACGCGCTTGTTGCGTATGTATTTTACGTATGTGTACATACGTATGTACTCTCACTGTTAAAATCAGTCAAAAATAACGGTACCAATCGAACATTCCCTTTTCACTAAAGTTATCCTGTTATAAAGCGGGGGAAAAATACAAAATATTTCTATACATATATATATGTATATATGATTGTGTAATAAAAATGCATCTATGTGTTTCCAATTGTAACTTTTTTTCGAGTTACAAACGAAACTAAAACTCACGATATATAAAAAACGATCGATTTAATCATTAAATAGGATTCCAGACAAGTGTTCAACAAGCTTTTGCGATAAAAATCATGAAATTAGCCGATAGATAATGATATTATTTTTCTTTGTAAAAAAAATAAGATAAAATATGCGATTTGCGAACGGGAAGGTGAACTTTCTCCTATCGATGTGAAATTGACTGATGCGCTATGATTGACTGTTGGTTGCCGGCCGGTCTACCGGTAATCCGATGCAATTTCTATCGAATAAATACTGTTATCTCTACACGTGATATACCGTGCGATTACTTTAGTCCAATATCACTCTGCTACTCAAAATCGTTGATTGATCGAACGTAACTAAACTTTAAGATAATATCGCCTGTTAAAACAGCACCAAGATAATATACTACTTCATCTTATCGAAATTCCGGATACATAAAGGACAAGTAAACGCGACGAAAGTTTTATGATTTCATATATCTGTCACTTCACCAATTCATCTCATATGAAAATTTTAAAAAAAAAAAGAAAAACAAGAATAATAATATTTTTCTATAGAAAACGTTTCAATTATTCTTATTCATTTGAAAGGAATTAATGTTAATAATAATAATAATAATTCAAAAGAGAATAAAACGGGATTGAATCACGTACACTGACAAGACGAATGTCTACTTCCTGGAAACGGTATTTCGACGTTCTGATACCGAAAATTCGTACAAGGTGGCGCTCAGAGGCAAAAGTTGATAACCGATAAGGGTATATGACGCTTATCGTACGGGCTAAGAACAACATATCCGTGGAACTATTCCGTTTCAAAGTTAAAATGACAAGAGATTCAAGAACGTGGATTAAGAAGCGTACTTTACTATTCAATTGCAGTAACTGATAAATTTGTCAATAAACTAAACGATAACAGAGAAATATATTTGCAAGGAATGAATTCAACATGATTCTGATAGAATTCTCAGTAACAAATAAAAACAAGAAGATGGCGGGTGAGGAAAAGGACGGGTTAGGGGGAGGAATGAAAGGAAAATGTTAAAGGGTTTTTGTTCTTTGGTATTGTTGTGGTAACTAATCTGAAAAAGAATGGGACTAGCTGAACTGAATATATTTGACTATTGTTATTACATGAAAATCTTCAAGAAGGAATGAAGAAAAGAACGGACGGATTAACAACGGACGGACGAACGAACTTTCACGATCCGCGCGCGTTACCTCCGAACCGCGAGATAACCACCAACGCTAGGGGCTGTTATCGCGGCGAGCAAGTAAAAGAAGGGCCTAATAATATTTACAAGAACAGCGAACCTAGAGAGAAATTTTCTACACTAGATATCGCGTATAGCTCGCAAGAATTATATATTTAACGATGCGATTGGCAACTAGGAGGAGGAAAAGGTAAAGGTAAAGGTAAAGGTAAAGGAAATGGACAAGGAAAAGGTGAAGGATCTCTACCGTAGAATCAATTCAATATGTAAGTTGTTCGCAATGAATATCGTGATCTTTTCGTTCTTTCCTAGCGTGATATTGGCTCTTATGACTGACCAAGCTGTTCCTGCTCTTGTAACTTCTACCGCACTGATCGCAAGACAATGACTGCGGTACATAGAAGTGCGTATCCGCGAGGTGTCTCTGAAGGGACCATGCGCGAGAAAATGTTTTCTGACAGAAACTGCAATAAGTGCCGCCGATCGATCGGCCCGATAACTTAAACTCCTGTTCCGCGTTCCTTCGAGATACCTCACGAACTTTCGCTACCGGCTGAGCTAACTCGTTTCCTTGAGAGAACCAACGAGGATCAGTGATCGATAGGTTCTCATTGGTTACGACGAGTCTCTCTTGACTTGGATAACGTTGTTGTTGCTGTTGTTGTGACTGTTGCTGTTGTTGGTGTTGCTGTTGCTGCTGCTGTTGTTGATGTTGTTGTAGTTGTTCCTGTTGTTGAGATTGACGATATTGACGATGATATTGATCATAATGATCGCTCGTCTGGTACTCGTCGTGTTCCGACGATAAAAGACAAGACTCGAACTCGGCGATCTTCGGAGACATAGGTTCCGATTTCAGGACGATCTGCACCTGATCGTTAATCCCATCTAAGAGATCGATTATCGGCAGCTGCTGGTGGTTATTATCCTGGACCACCACCTCGCATTGATCAGAGCCCGTAATTTCACTTGATTGCCCGGATTGTTGTTGATTCTCGCCGTTGGTGGCGGACTGCCAACCCCCGTCCTCCTCGGCGACCTCCCGGTCTGCAACCAAAGAGGAGGGGGCTGAGTCCAACCGGATGTGCCTGCCTATTTGTCTCTATATTCTTCTCTCTCTCTCTCTCTCTCTCTTTCTCTCTCTGTTCATCTTTTTATGTATGTTAAGTACATATATAATAACGCGTAAAAGTGCATGTACGTATGATTTGTCGCGTAGGTATGTCTCTTATTGATGAAATAT